TTTGAACCCACGACTTTTGCCGTCCCAGACGTATTTGTTATCTCCAGGCCAAAAGTGCCGGAGACGCAAATAAATAAGAATTAATTAGGAATTGAACATAAATTTACTACTTCTAATTTTGAACATTCTGTGCCTAAAGTTATTCGCGGGGGAAAAATTCTAGTACCCGATTGCAAAACCCCTGCTATCGCAACGGTAATGACAGATAAAATAAACACTGTCGTTTGGAAAAAACAGCTGGTTGTTAAAAATATGTATTATTAGCTCAAGATTTTTTTTTTTCATTTTAAAGTTGACAGTTTGAAATTACTTCTAATTTTTTTGTCTCTTTTTGTTCCAACGATTTTTGACAAAGTTTTTCTGCCAACGTTCTTTGTGTCGAAAAGATGTTTTATAACTTTTCCTTTTGGTTTCATCAAAGTAACTCTTAAAGCAAATCCGCACGAATTGCGAACTCACTATTGATAAATTTATAATTTCAAAATCAAAGAAACGCTTCGAATTGACAATCAGATCGCTAGCATTTGAAAAAAGCTAAAACTGAAATGAAATTAAAAAAAAAATTCCGCGTCAAAATTTTTCGAAACTTGCCTAACAAGCAAATCATTTCGCGTAAAAAGCAGATTTTAAAAAAAATGGTTAAAGTTTTATTGAGCATTAACTGTTACTGCATATAGAGCAGAATTTTTTTATTGATTGATTGGAAATTATTGGACAAAATCTTACTGCTTCAGTTTCACTTATTCTTCAGTTTTATTGTTTTATCTAGTTCAATGATCTATTTTTTTCTTAGATTTTGACGCTTACAAACACTTTGGTTCCCTTAGTGCTTGTGTTAGCTGACGCTATTCGTTTGTTTCTGGGCATGAAGTTTTTTTGTTTAATCATTTGGGTCGTTTTCTTGGCTTCAAAAATCCTTACAAGCTAAAATTTGGCAGCACATGACCAACTGTGCGGGACAATTGAATGCCAAATAGTAATTTTGTCGAAAAATTAGATGAAAAACCGACAATTTGATGACAGATGAGATGAACAAGGACGTGTAGAAAAATCACTGGCAATGTGAAGAGAAACGTAGTTCCAACCTTTTACGGGACGAATTGCTGAAGCAGAACAGCTCAGTGCCACCTGAACAAATCGAATTGACGTTTTCGAATATCTTTCAATAGGAGTTTGAAAAATACGTATTACTATCTTACTGATTTAAATCTTTTCTTATTTTTAAAACAAATTTGGTTTCAAACAAATACCAGTTTTTTTTCTTGTTTGATCTTGGTCGGACAATTTTTGTGAAATTTTTTTTAATTAATTTTCTTTGTATCAAACTTTCTTTCGACGTTTCTTTTCTTTGTATCAATTTTTATTTACTGTTTTTGTTAAAATATCTTGGAGCAAATCCTCAAATTTAGCAAACTTGCTTTTAGTGAATATAAAATTTGAAAGTCAGACTTTCTCGAATTGACACGCTGTCAATCAAATAAACGGAAACTGAGTTTTATTAGATGTGGAGCATGAAGTTTATTTGTTGATTGGAAGATTTTGACGAACAATATCTGTTTTTTACTGCTTGCGTTTTATTTACTGTTTCACTTAATCTGCTAATTGATCCTTTTAACTCAATTTGTTGGCCTATTTATAACAACTTCCGCTTTCACTTTTTGCTGATAAGGTTGGGCATGTGGATTAATTGTAAAATTTGGACCTTGGACTAGTAATGGCAAATTTGGTCAAAGTTGCAAAACTATTTGCAAATTAACGGTAATAGTTTCGTTCATACTAATTTGCTACCGTTATGCTACCTCAACATCATCTTTAGTGCTTTCGATAGCAAAAAACTGTTGTTTTCTGGACATCGTATTGCTTTTAGAGAAATGCACAGGCTTTCAAAAAACAAATAGGTGTCTGGACTAAGTTTTTGTTAAAAAAGAGATCTGATGATAGATTACATAAACACAAACCTGTGAAAAAACGTGTGAAACAAGTTCCAAATTTAAGAAGATATTTCCTGCAAACAGAAGAGAACGCCTGCGACCTAAACAATTCACATTTGAAGTTTCCAAATTGTTATTAGAAGTTTTTCAAAATTGCTTATTTTTAACCCTAGGATTTGATTTGTTTCTTACATTAAAATTGTTGACCTTGATGGTTCTAACGTTTTTTTTGTGTAATCATTTGGGTCGTTTTCTTGGTTTCAAAGTTCACTACAAACTAAAGTTTGGCAGCACATAACCAACTGTGCGGGACAATTGAATGCCAAATAGTAGTTTTGTCGATAAATTGGATTGAAAACCATCAATTTCACGAAAAAAGAGTTTAACAAGGACGTATAGAAAATCCACTGGCAATGTGAAGAGAAAAGTAGTTCCAACATTTTTTTGGAACAATTTGATGAAGTAGACGAGCTCAGTGCCACCTGAACAAATTTAATTCAAATTTTCAGATTTTTTTAGCAAATGTTCATACAGTACGTATTACTATCTCAATTATTCAATTGTTTCCTTCTTTTTGAAATCAAAGGTTTCAATGGAATACCAGTTTTCTCTATCTTGTTTGATCTTGATGTGGTAGAACAATTTTTGCTATTTTTTTTTTCGCTAATTTTCAATGTATCAAACGTTATGTCGACATTTCAATTCTTTGTATCATTTCTTATTTTTTGTTTCTTTTGAATATATAATGGGGCAAATCCTCACATGCAGATTGATTGTAAAAAAAAACATTTACCTTGTGGTCTTAAAATGACATAAAAAGTGAAAATCGCAAAACTATTTGCAAATTAAAGGTAATAGTTTCTTTCATGCTAATTTGTTCCGCTAATGCAATCTCATCATCATCTTAAGTGCTTTTTTTAGCCAAAAAAGGTTGTTTTTGGACATCTCCTTGTTTTTAGAATTTTTAGCTTTTTACAGCAAAATTTGGGGTTCGTAAACTTTTAGCCAACTGCACTGGCTTAAAAATTAAAACAGAAGTCTGCCACAATTTACGTTAGAAAAATAGGAACTGACGATAGATGAGATAAACAGAAAAGTGTGAAAAAAAAACAAACAGCGGAGTGAAGAGAAGTTCCAACCTTAAGGATTTATTTCCTACAGACAGAAGAGTTCAACGCCTGCGACCTGAACAGTTCACATTTGAAGTTTCCAAGTTGTTATTAGAAGTATTTTTAAAACTGCTTGTTTGTAACGCAAAGATTTGATTTGTTTCCAACATTAAGAATTTTTACCTTGATTTGTTCTAACGATACTTGACAGATTATTATTCCTAGCATCCTTTGTATAAAAAAAACTTCAACGTTTCTTTTTCTGTATCTTCTAACTAACTCATGGGTCGAATCTTTACTCTTTGCTTGCTCACCTTTGGTAGACAAAGATTATGACAATCAAGTTTGTTCAAAATGATACTAATGATAAACTAAAAAAAATCGAAGATATTTTTTTAATGAAAAATCTTCTTTATCATATTCTTTTTTTTACTTTTTACAAAAATTTCAACTTTTCCTTACTGTTTCATTTAAATGAATCTGAGGTCAAATTCCTCACATTTTGCTTACACACTTGTAGTTAATGTACAGTTTGACAATCAGGTTTTTCGAAATGACACCATGTTGTTCAAAAAAGGAACAATTTGATATGAATGTTTTGATATAAATTGAAGTATGTTATTTGATGTTTCACAATTTTTTTTTTAACTTTTGAAAATCTACTGGCTCTAATCCAATTAGAAAAACTTGATTCTTTTATTTTTGATCTTATCTCTTCTTTCTAATTCGGAATTGTCTTCGGCTGAAGTATCTGAGTTTCTTTGGCTGAACTGTTTATACTTGAAATTGATTTGTCGGTTGCCTCAGCGCCATTTTATTTGTTTTAGATCACATGTTAATATAAGCCAATTGGAAAGGCTGTCTAACTTTGTTGGCGTTAACCAGTTTTTCAGCGCCAGCTTAAACCAGTTTTTATTCCGGAATAATTTTTGCTTGGTTTGAATTCTTAACTAGCAACTTTTGACGGTTTTCATTTTCATTCAAAAAGTACAGATGTTTGAGCTCAAATTGAACAAAACTGCTCGTATCAGGGCTAAGCCCTGAAAGTTCCGACTGCCTTTTAACGTTTATGGAGCAGTAATAACATGGAAAAATTAAATGAAATGAAACAAAATGAAAAGTTTTTCTAAAGTTTGAAAATTTTTCTATGAAAATCATCCCCCCACACGCCATATAACGTACAAAACAACAAATTTCGCTCCTTGTAACAAATCAATTATGGCAAATAAGCTTCTTTCAACCAATTTGGAACGATTTCTAAGACGGATTAAATCTCCGCTTACGCGTTAATAGCGCGAATTATATCGCGCGTCAATTGTCCCAAATTTGTGAAAATGGCCAATATTGCAATCTTTGAACCCTCAAAATTTTACGAAAAATGATCACAGGTGAAATCTCTTTTCAAATTTTAGCTAAAGACAACAATAGCTTTCGAATGATATAAAAAAAATTCCGTCAAAAATAGCTAGTTAAAAAGTCGAAGTTTGTCTGAAGAAAAAAAAACCCACCAATATTTCGTTACTTTCGTATCGAAAGTCGGAACAAAAAGCTCATCACTTGTGGTTAATTTTTGTACACTTATGGGGTGTTAAAGAATGCTTATTTGACCAAAATGGGACAATTAATGCGCGATATATTTCAAGCTATCAACGTGTAAGCGGATATTTAATCCGTCTGATAAGTCGTTCCAAACTGAGTTGAGGCATGATATTTGGTCTAATTAATATTTTGCTATACGCGAAACATCAATTTGTACTTAACAAGCGTGTGAGGGGCTGATTCTATCATCAGCTCTTTTAAAGCGAACCCTACTACTTCATAGATCTTGAAATCAGTCAAAACATTCAGGGCTTTGCGCAGATACGAACAGTTTTGTCTTTTTCGGAACTAGCACCAATTAATCGATTTTTTCTACGTTTCTCTCCGCGTGTGCTTAATGGTTTTTTGATGTATTATTTAGAGTACACCTCTATCCAGTGGTACGAGACAATCTCGCTTCTGCCTCCCACTTTGGCTGTGATGGCATTCACGAGCTACAAGATATTTGATAAAGTGCATCAGAGTGGCAAGAACTTCTCCGGCAGTGACCCCACCCAAACATTCACGCAACGAGACATACAGGCAAGATACAGACACCCCCTGCACAAACCCCACAGATATAATTTTCTTCATTAAACACCTTTGAAAATGGGGCGAGGTCCTCGACTTAAATTTAGACCCAAATTGCATCATTGCGACCAGATTTTATTTCGCGAATATCTACACATTAATTTGTGAATTGGGTTGCAAAATCTGGTCGAAAAAATCTGGAAAAAATCTTTAAAAAATTTAGATATTTCAGACTTTGATCGGGACTATGTTCACATTTCGCGATTGTTTGGGACTATGTCCAGACATAGTTTATTCCAAAAGTTATGATTCAAGTTACCCCCCCCCCCCCCAAATAATCCATTGAACTGTTTCTCCAATCAAAATTTAACTTAAATTAAATCTGCTCAGTGCAGCGAGAGATATTTCGTTTCTGATTGGATGAAAAATCTCACTTGAGGAGGAGGGATGTTAACTTGATCTCGCAATATATATATTTTTTATTCCTGTACGGATAAAGACCAGATGACTTAAGTCCGTATGATGCGCATTCGCACTTGTGTCCCATTAGATTGTTTTCACAGAGTAGATTTGTGTAGTAGGTTGTATTGCATGAATAAGCTTCAGTTTTTTAAAGCATTCATCGATGTCCAAAAGATCACTATATTTAAAGGTGACCACTTAATGCATATGATAGACAAACTGAAAATGAACACGACTAAAAAACATCCTTCTTAAGCCTTTTAGGGGCAAGAATGTTATTTTGGTTTCAGTGGAAGTTTTCGGCAAACCAGAGTCAAAAAATTCTGAGAAATACTTCATTTGATTGGCCGAAAATCCCTAGAGCCAACGTAATATCCTTGACCCTAAAACATCCTCGCCAGAGGAACTTGGTGTTAAATTGGTCTAATTTCAATTGAGTTCTTTAGTGCTATGGTTTATTCAAATCAAAAGATGGAAAAGCGGTGAACCTTAACGTAAAGTGTTGGGCCTAATTAGGATGAAGAATGTTAACAATCTCTTATCGTTGGCCATGCGTTTTCAATCTTTTCAAAACTACTCTCCAGTCCAGTGCGGTGACAGCGCAAGATAGCTCATATCTCGCAAAAAGTACCACATTTTTCAACAGGGTCCAAATTCTTGGCATAAAATTTCTGAAAAATTTTGCGGTGAATTTAGTCCAGGTAGTTAGCGGTGAAAGTTAGTCCAGGTATGGCTATGTAGGAGTCAATTAGTTGGTTATGGAAGAACGCTGCTCGGGTCAAAGATTCATGTCCAGACTTTCGGGATAAAATTTTGGCATGTCCAGACTTTCCAGACCAAAATTATGCATGTCCAGACTTTCGCGACCAAACCTGGCATTTCCAGACTTTCGCGACCATGATGATCCGCCGCGACTTTCGCGACCCAAACGGAGGTGGCGCGACCAAAACATCGCGACTCGTATTTGTTATGTCCAGACTCTCGCGACCAAGATTTGCCATTTCCAGAATTTCGCGACCCAAAAACACAGGGGCGACTTTCGCAACCAAGGCGGATACGGCGTGACCCTGTGGCTCAGGAAACGGCGCGGCTAAGCTCAGTCATTTTCAGACTTTCCAGACCGAGATGCAGATGGCGCAACTTTCCAGACCAACATGGAGACGGCGCGATTAAGAAAAAGTTTTTCAGGGCTTCGACGACGGATGTGAAGACAGCGCGACTTTCGCGTCCCTGGTGGATACAGCGCGACTCAGGAAACGGTGCGACTCAAAAAGCAACGGCGCAACTGGCCTGGTAACGCGACCAAAAATAGCAATTTCAAGACTTTCGCGACCGATGTGGAAACGGCGCTACTTTCCAGATCGAGGCAGAGACGGAGCGACCAAGAATCAATTCTTCGCGACCATGGTAGAAGTGGCGCGACTTTCGCGTTCAGAGTGGAGACGGTGCAATTTTCCAAACCAAGGCGAAGACGGCGCGACTTTTCAGACCAAGGTGGAGATGGCGCAATTTTTCAGACCAAGGCGGACACAGCGCGACTTTTCAGGCCGATGCGGAGACGGCGCGACCAAAGAACAATTCTTAGTGAACGTGGTGGATGCGGCGCGACTTTAGCAATCAGAGCAGAGATGCCCAAGACCAAGGCGGACACTGCGCGACTTTTCAGAACAAGGCGGAGACGGCGCGACTTTCCAGCCCAAGGTGGTGACAGCGCGACTTTCGCGACCAAGGTGGATACAACGCGACTCAGGAAACGGCACGACTCAAAAAGCAACGGCGCGACCTGCCTGGCCAGCGTGACCAAAAATTGCAACTTCAAGACTTTCGCGACCGAGGTGGATACGGCGCTACTTTCCAGACCAAGGTGGAGACGGCGCGACTTTTCAGACCAAAGTGGAGAGGGCGCGGTTTTCCAGACCAAGACAGAGACGGCGCGACTTTCCAGACCGAGGCAAAGACGGTGTGACCAAGATAAAATTCCTCGCGACCGAGTTGGATAGCCTTTTAGCACTTGAAACAACTAGCTTGCAACAGCAATAATTACCATTAATGTTTTTTTGCGGAAAAAATGGACGCAGCGGATGTATAAATTAATTTGAAACCTCACAAAAATGTATATTAATTTTCACTAGGCTCCAACTTTTTGGTATAATTTTTCTGAAAAACTTACATTTGTGTTGTGATCAGACTTCAAGAAAATTTTCAAAAATTTTCAAAAAAGTACCCCTAAACCCTAAAATTTGTAACTAGCATTAAAATTTAGCACATGATAGATTCAGACTGGTAGTTTGAAATAGATTTTAACTGATCGCAAAAATACATTTAGTATGTGTTACAGTTTTTGGAATTGTAAAACGATCAACCGACATCTTTCCTCATCTGTGAAGTAGCCTACGGAAAAGTAGCCTGATGCATGGTTCCCTCTGAAGTAGTTGTAACTACATTGACACTCCAACGTCCTTCCGCGCCATGTTAAAACCCGGTCCAAAAGTCTCCGTTTACTGCCGGATCTCTCGAAGGCTCCGCTCATTTCTGCAACAGAACGTTTTTTGTCTGACAACAAAATATTTACCCTCTGACAACAAAATGTTTACCCTCTGACATAAAAATGTTTACCCTCTGACATAAAAATGTTTACCCTCTGACATAAAAATGTTTACCCTCTAACATAAAACTGTTTACCTTCTGACAACAAAACGTTTACCCTATGACGACAATCGTTTAGCCTCTGATAGCAAAATGTTTACCCGCACTGGAGTTTCAGGGGAAATAATCGATTATAATGGATTTTATCGAAAAAAAACTTAACCCACATAATCAATTTTCATGACCCATCCAACCATGAAAATGTATTTTTAGGGGATTAAAATCAATTATTTTCAATATTTAAAAATCTATTTTGATCGATTGTTTTGACAAAATAATCAATTTTTTTAGGCCAAAAAAATCCATGAAAATCGATTTTTTTTCTGCAGAAAATTGTTTGCAACTAATTGAATTCTTGAATCAATTGGATGAGAATTTTGCACAATTACATCAAAATGTCTACAAATTGTTAAAAAATCAACGCTTTGCAAATTTATAACCCGAGCAAACATGTTCATCCCTAAAAAAACCAACTCAAAAACGGCACGCCGCCACTTATGAAACTTATACGCACGTCACTACCGAACCTTCCCCCCTCCCCCCCCCCCCAGCTGCTCCCAAACCCTAAGCCCCACACATATATCCCCTACTTGAGTGTATAAAGAGTCCAGTTACCTGCAGTTCAGTCCCCCCGCCTTAAATACCCCCCTCGTTCAAGTAAGGGTAGAGGGGTAGTGGCCGGAGGGAGGGCAGTAGGCGTGGGGGATGGTAGTGGGCGAATGGTAATTTTTACTATGGCGACGGTAAAAAAGAACAGTTTATAAAAATGGTAACCTGCCAAGTTGAAAGAGCAGAGAATTTTAAATTTTAAAATCTTATGTGAAAAACTTAAGTTATGAAAAGTAATCGGCCCGTAGCAACTGCACTGAACAGGAAATGAGATAACTTGAAAAGTTCGCTAAGTTTATCGATAACCTCTCAAAAATCCTTTTTAATTGATTAAAATCGGTTAATGTTGGATTATATTTATATCAAAAAATATTATGATGATAATCCATTTTTAATATATAGGAAAAACTAAGAAAATAATCCAATTTTAATGGATTCAAATTAAATACTTTTGTAAATTTATGGGTACTGACTATATAATGACAATATAATCGATTAAACTCCAGTGTGGGTACCCTCTGACAACAAAATGTTTGCCCTCTGGCAACAAAATGTATACCCACCGACAACAAAACGTTTACCCTCTGACAACAAAATGTATACCCTCTGACAACAAAACGTTTACCCTGTGACAACAAAATATTTACCCTGTGACTACAATCGTTTACCCTCTGACGACAAAATATTTACCCTGTGACTACAATTGTTTATCCTCTGACGACAAAATATTTACCCTGTGACTACAATTGTTTATCCTCTGACGACAAAATATTTACCCTGTGTCTAAAATCGTTTACCCTCTGACGACAAAAAGTTTACCCTCTGATGCTGTAATTTTCCGTCCATTTAGTTCCAGCTTCTCACGAAAAGTCTTCGTCGCGTTGGATGCAGTTTGAGTTGAGTCTTGCTCAGTTGTAATTGAATTTGCTTAAAGGAATTTGAATTTGCTTAAACTTATCGAGCAGCAGAAGCATCCGCCTACCCGACCGTGAGCAAAAGGTTGATGCAAATTTCGCGTCTGCTGAATGTTTCTGCCCGGTGGCATCCCTCATGCTTGAAGGACCGAATGCTTGAAATTTTTTTAGCTTACTTTCGGCCAATCAGAATTGAGTATTCACGATCAAAGTAAAGCGTGAAAATCTCGAAGTAAAAAAATAAATCCAGGCCATTAGTGTTAATATTGATCGATTAGATAATAAGCAGATGAGTTTTCAGGACTTAAAAATTTTTACCAACTTGAACTCATAAATCTTGATGTTTATCTGACTAGTATTGCGGTTGTAACCCGCAATTTG